TTGGATCGGATTTCCTACATTTTTCAACTGATTTCAACAAAACTTCACTTTCTTTTTGGTAGGTAGTGTTTCTTATTGTCTTGCACACTTTTTTTCTTTATTTTTACATTCAGAATGCTTTAAAAATTCCATTTACAAGACAATTGTTCATAATAAAATTCTATTTAATCAGTAGACTCATAACGATTGAAAACAATGTTTTTGTTTGAAAACAGATGGCTGCAAATCTCATTGTCACAAACTGAAATAACGCCATCAAATCTAAACTATCAGTGACCAATATAGTGTACCAATTCCAATGTCCTGTACAAGACTGTCAAAAACCAATGACCTATATTGGACACACTACTACCTCACTGAGTAGACATCTTACATGCCATCAGTCCCAGCAGAGTGTGATTAATGAACATTTATTAACTTCTAAGAACCTTTAAGGAAAATTCTAGTTGATAATACAAGGTTCTTTTCAGGTCACATAGTTGTACCCACCTTGTCATTAGGGAGGCATTTTTTTAGGCATTCAAGGCAAGGGCCTCCCTTGGGAGAACATCCATTTATTGTAATAGATGAAAATTCAGAGTTTGCTAGTTTAACTTTTTATGGTCTAGAAAGTGACCAGCCAGTTTTCCACCATTGTTTTGTTAGAGTTTGGTCAGTGGAGAGATCAGCTGCTAGGCTCTGGTCATCTAGAGTTTTGGAGGTGCACCCATATATACCGTTGTATCATCTGCATATATATCTACAAATGATCAGTGTATACTCTTATGCAGATCATTAATGTAAAGCAGAGAGTTGGAACAAGAAGCGAGCCTTGTGGGTATGCCTGCATTGATCTCATGGGTCTCAGGGGATTGGCTGCTAACAACATTTGTGAACCTACTCGTTAAGAAGGACTTGATAATTGAGAAAACTTTTTCAGTGATTCCATAGCTGGAGAGTTTGTGCAGCAACCCTCTATGCCACACTTTGTCAAAAGCCTTTGATATATCTAATGCGATCATTCTTGAGATGTATTTATTGTCTAATGCCTCATTGATTCTCTGAGTAATGACAGGATATCAGCAGTAGACCAAGCTGATCAAAATCTGTATTGCTTGTTGCTCAAGAGATTCTCTATTGAGGATAGCATTGTTGTCTAGTATCAAAGTAGAGGCAAAAATCATAGTGAGGTGCTTTGCTTTATTTGACAAGGAAGAGATATTTATGATAGTAGGCACTGACACTGCCTCTTTTGACAATTTTGTCAGATTTTCCAGAACTCTCTTACAATGATTGTGGGTAGTTCTAAATGAAGCAAGTGTTCTACTATACTGTTGTTTTAAGATATACTTTAAATAAGTTTCAATTTTTTTTTTTTAATAATTTCACCGCAAGCAAGGCGATAATGCCACTAAGATACAAGGGATTACTGAGTGTGAGAGAATATGAGAAAAAGTAAACCTCATTAAGGAGAGAGGACAATAAAAGAACAGGAATTAAGAAGACATTGCATTTAAGGATCGAACTTGATCAGAAAGCAAGAAGCTGGAAGAGAGTTCCACAAGTGAGAAGTGTGAGAGAAAAACTGTTAATATAGAACTTAGTTACATCTAGCCATTTCAACTGTTAAATGATTAGACCTGGCTGTCAATCTATTACTGCGCTTAAATTAATAATGTCTAGCTATCATAGAGGAAAGTTCGTTAGAACAATTGCCATGAAAATATTTATAGAAAAGGCACAAGGATTATAAATTCTACATGTATTATATGGCTTGTAAAGAAAAGAAAAAAATATTTACTGAAGTGTGTATTATTTGAACTTAATTGACATGTTAATTGACCACTCATTACAAGTGTTTTTTCAATCTCTATTCTCCTTTTGCTATAGAAACTATGCAAAGGACAGTGTTTTAAAAATATTGTTCAGAAATAACGAATAACTTAACTCTGATGTACATTCTCCATTTATATTTTGGAAGAAAAAACAATTTAACTAAGAAGATTTGTAACTGGCTTCTTTCTGACTCTTGCATGATCTTCTTTTATGGAATATTGATTGTAGAATGCACTTTCAGATTACACCATTGCACAGTGGATTGAACCTCTGAAAGACATTTGTGCTTCCTCAGATCACAGATAGTCACTTCAAGTGTCTTAGATTGGAATATCAAATTTGGTAGACTTGCCTTGAAAAACCAACTTTCTATGGAAGATAGTGTAACAGTTTTTTTGTTTTTTTTTTTACATTTTATAAGTGATAAGATATTCAGTATTTTGCCTTGATTTCATTTTTTTATTGCCCTGAATTTCTTTTAAAATTGGATCAGGAGAAACAAATGTTGTAAAGCATTTTTTTTTTAAATCTTTTTTTCCCCCCTACTCTTTGCATTATAAAAGAATATATATATATCATTTTATATATATATTTTTTTTTTTTTATATCATTTTGACTTTTTTTTTTTTGTTATTTTTCTTTTTACTAATGTTCACCAAATACAAGGCTCAAGGGCCACTCAAGGTAGAGAGTTGTATTGTATAAGGAAGTGCAAGATAACAGGAAAGATAGTTAATTATAGACTTGAAGAGGTCAAGATTTAAATAACAAAAGAGTTCAGACAGACACGTTAGGAGTATGGAGTTGAAGTAGACTTTAGAAGAAACCAGAAACCCAATCTTAAACAGGAAACAAGAGTTAAACCTCTACTCCTGTTTAAAAGACCGGGGATCTATGTGAACTATAACATTTGTAAAAGGGATGTTTTAATTAATATTAAGAAAATAAAATTTCAAAAATATTTTTGTTTTATCCCTGCAGATTTATTATGGAGCTTAGGGAGGGCCACAACCACACCAAGAGATGATGCTGCCATTTCAGTAGAAATTGAATTTTTAAGGGGCTGGGTTACTAGTCTAATTCTTGAGCTTGACTCTCTTAGAGAAGTAAAGGCCTCTAACTATTCTATTTAGCTGAGTACAGGGAATAGTGAATTCATGCCTTTCCCAAGGATATTAGTGTCTCAAAGATAGTTTATATTTAAATACATTTATGTTGTATACTGCCTTTAAAATATTTCCTTCATCTTAATCTTTTTTGCTAGAAGTTCATAAAAGGCAAACATTACTTCAGTTTTCATTTAAAATTGTGTTAAATTGATGTTTTTTTTTTTTTTTTTTTTGCAACAATATAAATGGAAGTACATATAAGCTATGTAAGTGTTAGTTTGCCATAATTGTATTCACCTATGATGTTTCTTGATATTGATCATTTTACTTTTCTTGGCTGTTGAGAGAAATGCACTTAAAATGATTTTGTGTGTCTGTGCAGATTCATATCATTCTTTTTGTGCATACAGACATGTTTAAAATGAAACTTATAAAATATGCAAAAAAGGAAGGTTCAAAAAATGCAATCTTACTTCCCCTTATTTATATGTTATTATTTATTAGTGATTATCTTTGCTATGGACATGTTTGTTCAAGTTTCCAGCTCCAATTATATGGTTTAGTTTTGGTTTAGTTTTCTTTTTTACATAACAAACATGAAAAGCTTCAGGGCATTGGATGTGGATACACTTATCTGGAAAGTCGTTGAGAAGAATGAATTTAGTTGAGAAAGCTTTGATTGATTTTGCTTTTTATAACAAGAATGGTTCACAGTGGTTTGCCCCATGGGAAAAATGATTTTGATTATTTTTCTTGTAAGAAAAGTGTATATATTTTTTTACAAGAGGTCAACATATCTTCTGATAAATGAGGATGTGAATTAGTTTAAAAATTTAAATCACTTTATCTGAGTAATGCTAAGTAAAAGCAAACAATAAAATGCTTTTATTAACAGATGTTTTTTTTTTTTTTTTTGACAAGACTAAACGGAGATAGTCACTTCTTATTTCACTACTGTGAATAAGGCTTTAAAATTTAATCCATTAAGTTTGTGCATTACCAAATTCTTTGTCTACAAATGAGTTAAATGTGTAAATGGATAATAAATATGGTACATGTTTAAAAGGTTTAAGTCAGATTGCATTTTATTTTATAGTCTGTGCTGTGCTTGTTTTTCCAGACTTGAGATAATTATCTGGCCTCACCTTTCTGAATCCATTTTAGTGTCTATTTAGTGTATCTTGTAAAACATGCAAGTGCAAATGTTGATTAGCAGCAACAGCTTATTCATGCTGCTGCTTTGGCCAACTCTAAATCAGGATATCATTTCTGTTTTGTTCACATAAATTAATATATAAAAACAACAAAGTCTGGGAGAACAATAAATTGGTAGTGTGATAGATATAAGTTAAATAATAAGTTAAATACTTGTACATTAAATGTATGCCTCTTACATGTTAACTATTTAGTAATGTTTAGTATTTTGTATCTTCATTGCATTAAATTGCGTAGAATGTCCAGAAAGTATCTTGGTATTTCATAATAACAAAATAATAGACTATCTAGGATAATGTTACCTTAGTCCTCTTTAAAACCTCAAACACTTGTTCTAGTTTATTTTCCACTTTTCAAAACAATCTGCATACCCCTTTTTGGGGGCTTATTATCTGATGCTTTATCATATTCTCCTTAATCTCGACTACAACAGCATTTACCTTCAGGAAATGTCAGAAACTACAGGCAACCAAATTTCAACTGTCTGGGATGATGTAATATTTTTATGAAGAAACTGCTCAATTGGACATTGTGAATGTAATGACCACACAGTACATAAACTCACTTAATGGCCTCTTGCTGCCATCTGATAAATGCAACCATCTGTCTGTGCATGTATAGTAGGGTCCCTCCTGATTAGTTGAAGTTTCCAAGTTGCATAAAGACTCCATAACCAGTTCTTGAGTCATTCAAAATGGTTGGATATGTTCCAGACACTTTTGATAGGTATAAATATTCCCAAAATGTAAATATTTATTTCCATTATATTTTTACAGTGAAATCTGATATAATAAACAAATGCTAATCCTCTCTCAGTCTATGTACACCTTTTTAATGTATCTAATTTTTACTTCTTTGCAGTTTGCAGGAAAAAAAAAAAAAAGCCTGTCATTTTTCGCAGAAATTAACCAATCTCAAAAATTCTGTGGTTTGTCTGTATAAAGTGTACTGAGAATCAAAACCATGATGTGTACAAGACGAGGAGATCTTTTTTTTTTTTTTTTTTCATAAAGATTAAAGAAATCTTTTTCTGACATTCCTTTGGGTTACATTGTCATTTAAAAAGTATCCACCTGGTGGGCTTATTTTGTTACAAATATTTTATATCTTATTATGAATCATATGTCATACTATTTTTATTACGAATGTTTTTTAATATTTGCTAATTTGGTATGAAAAAGACAGAATTTACTAAGAAATACAAAGTGCAACAGGAAATTGTGGAGAGCCATAATCACCAACATCCTGAAGAGACATGGCACATAGAAGAAAAAAAACTACAAATAACTGAGATTCACATACATTTTAGCATAACATTTTATTTCATAGAAAAAAACATTTTTGAATTTATAGGAGATGTGTTTGAATCCCAATGTTTATTTCATTTTCTATATTTTTACTACTATGCTTTTTATTACTAAACATTTAAACAATTTTAACTGCAACAATAATTAAAAAAAGTGGTTTTATATATATATTTGTTGATTATTTTTTTTATTGTTATGTAATTTTTTACTTATTTATTACTTTTTATTATTTACAATTTAAACATCATAATAGTTGTAATTGGTATATTTGATAACGATCCCTTTACTTTGATGTCTAGTGTAAAAATAAAATTAAGAAATGTTTGGGGGTGTTGGGAGGGATAGCACTTTGGCAAAGGAATGGTCATACTTTTGGGGAATAGTTCGTCTGCATTGGTTCCTGCTCACTGCCCAACTCTCACCTTTGGTTCCAAGTAGTTGTTCAATGGCTATGAAGACAGTGCCAGCAAGTTCTATGGAGTTCATCAGAGTATGGGTGTGACATATAGAAGTATTGAAGCCTGGAATTCTCTGGTTGTCACAGTTCTTTGTGCACAGGGTAAAAACCCCTCAGGCAGAGAGAATTTAATTATCCAAGTGTAACAATTTTCCCACATAAAATTCTTCCTGCATAAGTCTGTCTTGAAAATTTATCATTACATCACTAATCTTGAGGTACAAGTCCAAAGAACTGGCCATGTCATCTGCATGGAGCAACATCACATGCCTAGATGCTTGTTGTATTATGGAGAGCTGCTATGTGGCAGAAGATGTCAAGGTTGACCAAAGAAACAGTACAAAGATGCAATCAAAACCAACTTTCCACTGGTGTAAGATCAGACCAAAGTCAGCTGGAGGAATATACTGCCAACTAATCCTGTTGGTGTACCATTATCTGCCAAACTTTTGCAAGCATTAAAGAAGACTGATGTCAAAAAATAAATATTCAAATAAAACTGTGCAACTTTTTGTGTGTCCAGACTAGGTTTGCTGTGGCATCTATGGATCTACTGACGAACATTGACAGGCTTCTTTGGAGTTGAAGGACAATTATGATGACCATGAATGTTAAAGAAAAGTGGGTTTGAGGAGCTTCAGTGATTTTTTTTTTTTTTTTTTTTTTTTTTTTTTTGACTGGTTTTCTTCTATTATTTTTGATGATTAGAGTTATAAAAATGTTAAGATGAAAAGAATAAAATAATTGTTATAAACTGGCTTGAAGGTAGCTAAGACGGCAACAGTGTGAACTCAGGGTTGCTCACCAGAAGTACTTTTTGAGACACCTATCTAATACATATATGTTCTAATGGTTGTCCTAATTGGGACAGCTCCCATTGTCTATAAAATGCTTCTGTAGTATGCATCTCAAATAGCCTCTGGCAATAAGTCCAGATCCAAAATGGCAGTTTGTGAAAAAATCAGTCAGAAAAGCAGTCCATCTAGGAAGGAAATCCCTGATTTTAAACCTCTGTTGCTGTGTGGTCATATCCAAATATGGAAAAGGCTATGGAAGTACATCCAGACAGAAAACCTGGTTTGGAGCAGTGAAGACAGTTGGCTGTCAACACTGACAACTTTCTGGCAACTCCAGCAGCCATGCCATCCCCAAATGTAATGCTCTATATTCCTTTAAATCTTGTTGGTACATCCAAGAGGGTCGGGGGAGGGCATGTAGTCTGGGCAGTGCATGGCCTCTATATACCATCACCCAGGCCTGGAGAGGTCACTCCTGTTTCACCACAAAATGACTGAATTTTGACCAGACAGGGCACTACTCGTGAGATAAACTGATGCCTACGATACTACTATATATGAACAAATTTACTATTCATCTTAGCAAAGTAAGTCAAGATTTAAGTTGAAGAAGCTGTCAAGTATAAAGAGGACTTGTTTATAAATTTGCATTATTGGTAAACATGGATTGTTAAATTGCAGCTAATAGTTCATAGACTTCAATTGGCATCACTTTTATACATTGCTGTTCCACAGTATCCAACTTGAACACCAAGCAAAAGAAGTCTTTAAAGAGACTCTTTTTTGATTTTCTAATGTTTATGATCACTGAATTATTGATCTGATGTTTTATTTTTCATCTATCAGAAGTTCTATCTGATGTTGCTTTGTTGTGGATAAAATTTAACCCCAATCTTTGTAGAAGACGCCAATAGATGCTGCATTTTGTCCTTAGATGATTAGGAACATGAAATCAACAACATTATATTTGTTGGGATATTCATAAACATTTGATTTTTCTTTTTGCTAAAAATGTCTGAACCTGATACAATTCCATGTGTTTATAGTTTATGACTTTTGCTATTCTAAATGCATTTTGTTTAGGTCTTTATTATCAATGACAAGGTCTTAAGGGGGTTATTCTATTATTTCTGTATTGACTGAATTTGTGTTCTAAAATCTTTTCTCCATTAATTTGAAAATGAACTTCTTGAGTTTGTTTTGCTATTAAAGGAAACTAAACTTCCATTTCAAGATGTTTTGCATTAAAAGAAAGGTATTATTGATTTACATAATTGATTATTAGGCCTGCCTCATTTGTAGGTTCTTGAAGTAATAAGGAGGCTATTTTAATTCATCTGTTTCTTTAGAAGTGATCTGGTTAATTTTTTGCTTGCTTGAATGCTCTTGAGACAATTGTATTTAATTCATGTCTTTTTATCCTCTTTTAAAGAGTTCTTTTTCTTTTTCTGTTATGCAACAGCAGCATGTTAACTCAGACATTGATTTCAGTGTTCCTTTTAAAATAGGTTTCACAATTCAATTTTTTTTGTTTTGATATTTTACATTGAAATCAGTCAATAATCAAAAGGTCTCATTTTTAAATGTATTTTCAACTGCACAAATGTTGTGACAACAGATTAAACATTCTCTCTTTTTGATATGTTGCAGAAGGTAATAATAGTAGATGTGATACTATGGACAATCCACATAGAAACACTCGAGATCAAGATAAAATCATATCTTCCTTTTCTGTTTGATGGCTAGCAGATGGTTCTTACTTTTTTTAAATTCTGGTCTTCTAAGCAGCATCCACTTTCACTGAAGGGGAATGGGGAAGTAAAGGTGTGGATGAGGGGTTTTTGGAGATCAAGCGACATCAAACTGGATATTGATTATTTCTGGGTGTTGGTTTATATTAGCAGTCATATTTGGGATTAGAGGAGTGTCACTTTTGGTCCGCCCTTGGTGGGAGAGGGACTTGTCTGTCACATGGTTTTGGAGTCACTCTTTTGTATTGCCAGCTACATATTGGAATATGTAGATGGATGAGATGTGGTTAAGGGGAAGAGTTGATCTATGAGATTGTCACTTACTTACCCACCCAAGCAAGCAAATAAAGCTCTGAATAAAACATCTTCCTTATAATTTGGGAAATGGAGTTCACATTCTTATTTCTTGATGTGGTGCTTGTTTTTCATAGTGTTACTTTGTGAGCATGCAAGAAACTCTTTCCCAGCTTGCCAATGAGATTGGTAAATTAATGTGTGGTAATCATTGGATTAGGCATGGGTTGTGTTGTATGTTTACATAGAAAAATGAAGAAGAAATGATATATTTCAAATTTTAGAGAAAACATTTATGAAATTTAGGTAAAAATCTTTTTTTATAACCCTAATTCTTAATATAAACTTTCAGTGATTGTCTAACAAATTTTATCACATTAAAACATTGTCAAGTGATATCTAATGGCCAACACACTTTTTTGGGTGAATAAGGTTTGTGAGTTATTTGTAACTAATTTAGGGTAGCTAATTTAAAAAATTGCATGTTTTTGCCTATTGTATCATGTTTTTATTCTATAGCATACTCCTATTTTATGATGCACAATATAAATTACCTAGAAATAATATTGTGAAATATCACCCCCCCCACCCCCCCCAAAAAAAACCTTGATTGAATTTTTCTCTATTTCTTTGACTTCCTTAAACGTCAAGTTTTCATTTTTAGCTGGGTAAGTTGTTAACAAAATCTGCCTAATGCCTTTGCATCCTGCAGTGGCCAAAAATAGATCCGTAATTTCATTTTGTCCTTTAGGTGTTTGGTCATCTCATAACTTTTTTTTATTCTGGCACGTACCTCAAAGAATTTTATCAAAATCTTTGTTTTCAGGTTCTTCTGTGTTTAACAGAGCTCCGTAACTAAAGCCTGCAGACTTCATTCACACAAAGTAATTTTTTTCATTGATCTGAGAAAGTGTTTGTATATAGCTGACAGTCTAGATATTTCTGAACAGGTGTGATGCCATGTATGACATGCAGATGAAAATCTTAATCTAACAAGGTTATTTAAGAACATGTCTTGAGTTGTTAAGTTAATCTTTTCATTTTGTAACAGTTTGTAATGTTGGACAAAACTGTTCTGAATGCTGCCAATATTGAATTTACTTATTTCTTCTACTAAATTTGTTGTAACTAATCCAGACACCAAGGTATTTGAAGTGTTTTTGCATTTACAAATTCCACATTCTTATTTTTATGATGGATTCAAGGTACATGCTATCAATTCTTTCATTCCAGTTCCAGATCATAGTTTATGTTGTAGGAAGGTTTATCTTTAGTTCTATTTCTTGGAACATTTGACATTTTTGTTCAATATCAGTTTATGAATACCTACGTCAGT